CCCACAATAAAGACGGCCCTGACTGGAACTGGTATTAAACCACGCCTCAACGCAATTCGTCTATCCAGATGTCCTCAGGATGTGGTGACCTATGCTTTGATAAGAAGGTAATTTTTTTTTCTGGTGAGTGATCTAACACATTATCACTGAGAAGAGTCACTGTATCTGGAACGCTTTGTATGTTTAATATTGATGATAACACAAGAGAAGATTTAAAGAGGAGAACAGGATCACACACAAAATGTGTTTGATAGCACCTTATCTATGGTTTTCAACATGTTTTTGAGCACTATTTTAACCAGAAATGCACAGGATTGAAGTTTGCACAAATACTGGTACAGAGAGACACTGTTATGTTTTGCACAGTACCAGAAACTATTTTTTTTAATGCGTTTCATATTTTGACTTTATTATGACTGTGCAATTACCTGTTAAAGAAGCACAATGCCGAATAGCAAAAAATGCCCTGGTCAGGAAGGGGGTAAAACCTTCCAGAGGTCAAGTGGTTAATCAAGAGGAGAGCGGACATATGCTTACCTAATCCTCCAATCCCCCAGCACAAGACCGGTCCGGCACCCCATGCTCTAGTGGTCTTGAGTTGTGGACTGTTCCTGATGTAGCATTACCCCGTAGCAGTTGCTGAGTTTTTGGTCCCCCCATAGTCCTGCGCAATCAGGCAACATGTATTTTCTATACAGACTTGCATCCAGTAAAAAGTAACCAGTTCTTGCACTTGTTTTTTGTATTTTATTTGGGGAATTAGAACTTGTATGGGGTGAAGGGTGTATGGGATGCCCAAGGGTGATGGCAACAGAGGTTAATATTCCTGAACTATGTACAAGTCCCTTTAACAGCAAAAGAACAGACTCTCCTTCTTGGAGAGCTAGCCAGCATCTCCTGGTGTACCACCCCAGACCCTAGATACTCCTTATCCAGCTGTTATGGGGAAATCCCTGGGCAGGGGATCCAGTGCCTGTCACTTTATGGGTAAGACACTTACTGGCCCAGGGAGTGTAGGTCTACTCACTCAGTCTCTCTTGCTATGATCAGATGGGCCAGTGACTGCACTCAGGCCTTCTGCTGGGCCGATCCTTCACTGCTGCATAGGTGGTCCTCCCTCTTGGGGCCAGTGAAATCCTGAGCTTGCTTCCAAGCTTCCTTGCCTGAGTGAGCCCCTTCCCATGATTCACAGCTAAAGCATGAATTATACCCCTTGTCAAACTTGGCCCATTCAAGTGAATGGTGCTGCTCTGCAACTGCCCCTCAATTTTGTGCAATGCATATAGTGGCGGCATGCTAGTGCAGGGTTGAAGGTGTTAAAGCAGGCAGTAGGGAGGCAATACAATGCCACCTTACAGCAAGTCAAATGCTCTCTGAAGAGCAATATGAATGCAGATCGCTCCTCAGAGACCAAAACACGTGTGAACAAGTCCTAATTATTTAGTTTTTTAAATATTTTTATTTTTCAGTTTTTTTTTTTCATTTTTAACAGCCCTGTAGGGGCTTTGTTGAAATATCAGGTCTCTAAACAGACTCCTGTGGTCTCACTTTTGAGACATAGACACCTTGTATTTTGGTGCATGTGAAAAGGCATGTGTTAGCAGATGCAGGTGGTTGCCATTAACAGGTAATGGCAGTGCCACACATCTACTAATCTACAGTGTGATTTCTTGGGTGTCAGGAAAGTCACAATTCTTCGCACAGGTGTGCTGCAATTTGTCTGCAGTGTGATTGTATGTGCGGTTTTAGGTGCGCTCTCATTAAATTCTATTACACAGTGTGTTTTCTGAAAGTGCATCAAAGATGCAGCATTTCAGAATTCATAGGGGAAACCATACCTTGTGTAATAATATGAAGGAGAATGACAGTTTCTCCTGTCAGGCAAGAGAAGCAGCAGAAGCTCCCAGTGCACCCTCCTCACCACAGATTATGACAGGGCCCAGTGCAGGTGCCCTTTCTGCCCCTCCCTTATACCAGCCCTGTTGGTCAGGATCCCTTAAGAGTGCAGACCAGCCACTCCTCACTCCCTCCCACTGCTTCTAGAGTTTCCTCCAAAGCACTAGAGCAGGGGAAAGTCCCAGAGAGATGGTCTGCAGAGCCTCTCAGCTCTAACCTCAATTTAACCTCCCTCTGACTATTACACAGGGTACTGCTCACCCTCTAACTAACAATTTGGAATCTAGCTCCCTTAGCTATCTAGGAGAGTGCTACACTGACATCATCAAGCCCAGAGCAGGCTCCATAGACTAGGAATAGTCCACCGATGGACAAGGGGGAGTGCCGTTTTCCTGTGAAACAAAGGATCAGGTCAGTATTAGCTTTCTCCTCACCCCTAGAAAAAACAAACAGTTGACCCATGCAGTGCGAGTACAGCCCCACTACATGGGATAAAATGTATTGCACAAGGTGAACCAATGTAACTATGTAAAAAAGGTGCCTTACCTTAACTTTAGCTTTAGGTACTTTCACGTTCCCTCTTATTTTATTTCTTGTATTGTTGTCCATTTTGTAATATCTTTTTCTGTAAATTTGTTTTGCTTGTTTAAACAAGGCTTAAAGCTGAGTTCCAGTTGAAAAAAAAATATATACAAGTCAGTAGCTATGAACACTGTAGCTGCTGACATTTAAAAATACAGACACTTACCTTTCCCGGGGTCCAGCTGTGTCCCTCAACATGGCTGGTTTCACCTGCCGTCTTCTCTCCTTGGTGTATCTTCAGTGTGGGCACCCGGCTGTGAACGCTTGCGGCTTTACAGCCGGGTGCCCACTGCACATGCTCGAGAAGCGCTGCGCCTTGTGAATGGCCCCATAGTCTTCTGGGACCTGTCACATGTCCCAGAAGACTACGGAGAGAGAAGAGGGAGGACAACTTCCGCTTCCGATCACCTAGGCGATCACAGTGGAAGTGGGAGCTGTTACCTGTCAAATTCGGGTACCCGCTCTCCCCTGCTCCATAAAGGTGCCAATCCTTAATGGGGAGCGGGGGACAAAGGCTTAAAGCGAAACTTCCCCTTTTGGGTGGAACTTTGCTCAAAGATTTTGAAATATTATTTCTGAATGCTTCAGACCTGCCTCTTGTAAACAGAAGAAATAAGACTTGTGACTGGAGCGCCATGTGACTGCAGATTTTGGTGACTAAAAGGGACAGTAGGAGTTTTTTTTTCAGTTTTTTTTTTTGCTGGGTCACACCAGAACAGTAATGGAGGGAAAATCTTACATTTGAGGACACTATTTCTGATGACCCTAGTGTCATCCGAGGATTTCCGCACTTTAGAAGGATTTCTTCTCACTTCCTGTTTTGGCTCTGAAACAGGAAGCGAATGGAAATCTGTCCTATGGTACACAGATGGCAAAAAAACTGACACGGATTATAACCGTCCCTTACTTTAGCCAAAATTTAAAAAAAAAGAGTTGCCTTTAGTTCTACTTTAACAAGGACTGTGTTTGGGATCATGTATGGAACCTTTACACTTAGCCTGGACACCAATATGTTATCTCAGTTATTACCTTGCAACTGCTGTTGTAATTTACTTTGTCTTTCTAAATATTGAAACTCTAATGAGTTCTATGTGATTTTTTTTAATGGAGAATTTAGCCTACCCACCTCATAAAAAGGAAGCAAATTTGTTTGCCAACTTCCGCCTTTTGAGAATTCATGCTGACTATTGCTTATAGAATTGTTTTCTAACATAAACTCTTCTAGCAAACTCTCAGGTATCTTCCTGACTATATATATATGAAACTAAAAGGTTTGAAGTTACTTGGTAAAGACTTTGATTCCTTTTTTAAATTTAGGCACCCCATTGGCCATGCATCAATCTAGTCATTTACCAGTCCTCTCAATCACAGAATGCTTTACATTCACTGTAAAGAATGCAAAATGTTTTCAGAATGGACAAACTGCAGTGGAACTACCAGAAAGTCTGCACCAGTTACAGTGGCAGTTCAGAGATAGGGGTTAGCCTCCCTCCCTACTGTGGTCAAATGACTGAGCCGAGGGGAGGACTTCCCCTCACTCTGAATTGCTACTGCATCTTGTCTTCTGGTGTGGTGAGCGAGTTTAGGGAAAGGGGAGATCTGTACTGGAAGGTCAGCACTGGGAAAGGTGGTGTCTGTACTGAGGGTTCTGTACTTACCCATTGTAATGGAATTCAAGATATCTGTAGGCCGGGAGTGTATGGCAGGTGTACGGAACGTGCCAAATCTCTGTTGACCCTACAGAATGGGTTTGAATCTAACTCTTGTTGAAGATATAAGGGTGCTAAAAGGGTGCTACTGTGTTCTTTGACTCAGGTTTGGGGTGGCCAGACCTCATTGTCACATCCACCACAAAATGACTGCATTTATTATGACCCAACAGAAACAATTGTTATTGTAGTTCGACCACTTTAATACTATCAGGTATAGACAGTTTAAAGCCAATAGAGGTTGTTTTTGGGTTTAATTTATTTCTAACACCGTATTATAATGCTACACTGGTATTAGCAAAGTGCATTCCCATAAATTCAATGGATTTGTTATGAAACCATGCTTGATTTTTATCCTAACAAGCTATTTTTCCTGATAAAATATACTGTTCTACCTTAAAAAACAATCCTCACCAAACCATGCGTCCGTGTCCCAGTTGGGGAAATCCTACATTACTGCCACTGCATCCAAGATTTTTCTAACAGTAAAGATTGGTCTCTTTTACAGGTTCTTTATTTCATATTGATATGTTATATATTACAGTGAATTATTCACATACCATTCTCAGGCCTAGCAGAGCCTACAATGATGTTTCCTGAGAGGTATCTCACACAATCATGGGGTGGACAGACAGATTCTTGTCAAATGATGTCCATGGTATGAAATAAATTCAGGACCCCAGAATGTGCTATCACTTAGAACTTTATACAGAAAACCTTTAAAGTCCATAATAATATTGTTTTATTTTTTTAAAATTGTAAAAGTGATAGGTGCTCTTGAAATATGAACAAGATATCCAATACAATGGTCCTTCAGTGAGGCACAGCCAACATTTCATATTCACGAGGTCTAGTAGCATTGCTGTTGGGTTCAGGTGTAATGTCTATGTCATTTATGTCCACAGTGGGTTTCAAAGTAAATCTCTGAAGAATGGTTGTTAAAAAAAGGAAGAGTTCCATGCGAGCCAGACCCTCGCCCATACACACACGTTTTCCTGGAAAATAAGGAGGGGAAAAACACATTAAAATCATGTCATTTGCTAAAGGCTTAGGCCAGGGCTGGATTAAGGGAGCTGATGCTTTATGCACAGCCCAACTATGGTGCCCCCTTAACCTTTCATTGCTTAAGTGACATGACATTAAGCACAGGCATTGGCACAGACAAGGTTTGCAAAAGTGTCTTTTCTGAATTCTAAACGTTGTGCAGCATGGGAAGCAAATAAAAAGCTGAGGCCATGCTAGTCGGATCAAAGTAAGTATTACTTGTGAAGAGGGAGAGAGAAATCAGTCAGTTCAGGGCAAAGGGACAAAAAGGATAAGTGCACCTATCCTTTAAGGGTGGGATAATTATGGGAAAAAGTCAGGGGTGCCCCCTTACTTTGGTGCCCTAAGCATGTGCCTGCTTGATACTTTTTCTCAGGGCAGTGCCCCCCCTCTCCCTTCATGCTATTTTTTGGTGCCCCTCACCCATTAGCCCAGATAACATGCATTTTTATTTGACAGATTTGGCTCCCTTTGATTACAGATGGCTTCAGGTTCGGCATTCAAACTTTTTCGTAGTGCGTTGAACCCTCTTTAGACAACCCAGGGCAGTTCAGCTCATTTCTAGTTTAGTTCCACTTCAACTTTTTGGATAAAGTTTTATTTTCACTAGTCTCTGAAAATAACAGTCACTTTTAAAAATAAAAAAAATTATCCTGATTAGTGATGAGTTTAGGATCAGGCTTAAGTTTAGTCATAACCAGAAGTTAGCCGTTATTTCTGGGCCAATAAGCTGAAGACTCCTTGCCTCAGGAGCACAAATGGATGGGAACGCTTGAGACATACTAGACCTAACACAAGCATATGGCCATATTAGGTGAATGATGTCCTTATTATAACCCGTCCCTTTTTAAATGTTCATAAGCAGGGTTGGGTATTTCCTCCCTACAGCTCATTGTTCCAGAAATGACAGCTAACTACAGGATTTGAGACAAATTCAAGCTCATCCCTAATCCTGATATGTTAGCTTTGTGTATTAAGCCTATTTGTAATCAGGGCTGTCTTTCTAAGAGAATAGGTACAGGTACTCCCCTCTTCAAAGTAAGCCCTTGGCTCTGCCCCATAACCACTATTGAGCACTGTACCTTGGTTCCACTCCCCCTTACCCAGCTTACTGTACTTCCCGTTTTAGAGAAAACAGATCCAAGTACCATTTTTTTTGTGGTGCTAAGTCAGGGGTTCCAAACTTTTTTCAAAGAGGGCCAGATTGGATGAAGTGAACATGGTGGAGGGCCGAACATTTTTCCGAACATTCTTTGAACCATACAATTAAATGCAAATAAATTATTTTATGCCAAGTAATTGCAAACGACATACTTTTCATTTCATAACATTAAGATCAACTGCAGCTGAGCTTTGAAATGTATTGAAAATAAATTTTAAAAAAACATACCTGCACTAATGTGAAGGGTGAAAAAGGTAGCTGGAGCTGAAGTCTCTGCTCGGCAGCCGGGAGGGGAAGAGAAACAACTTCAGAAGCCCGGCCCTGACCAGCGCGGCGCAGTCACGCATGCGCACTGCTCTCAAGCAGATCATCTGCCACAGAAGGGAGGGCCGTGCGACAGCCGCAGTACATCCACCCTGCTCTCAAGAGAAGACTGTCTGCCATAGAAGGGAGGGCCGTGGGAGGGCTCACATTACACAGAGCAGGGAGGGCTGTTGGAGGGCCGTATTTAACCGACCCCCCCTAAATGGCCCACGGGCCGGACTTTGGACATGCCTGTGCTAAGTAATAATGTGCTGCTAAAAAAAAAGTACAATAGATCTCCGCAGCCAGCAACAATAGACCCACCGCCAGCAACAATAGATCATCCAGCAACAATAGCTACAAATGATCTCCCAGTAGCCAGCTAGCTTCAAAAGAACCTTCAGAAATCCTCCCTCAATAGTTGACCCCCTCCCAGCAACATGAGAACCCCCCCAGCAACAATAGACCTCCCCAGAAACAATAGGTCCCCCTGTCCCCCTGCACAAATAGATCTACCCAGCAACAATATACAGTATCCCCCAACAATCAGCTTCATTAGACCCTCCAGCACACCCCAGCATCTCTTACCATTACATACATTCAGTGCTGGAAGTGCCAGAACAGTGCTCCCCTGCGCTCCTGCTGAAAAAAGCCGTGCTTGTAATTAACTATAACATAGTACCTGCAGAAAAATGGCATGAAGGCATCACTTTTCTTAAAAGTGCCATTCTCATTAAGGAAATGTCCAGGGTCAAATTTATCAGGGTCTTTGAACTGTTTTGGGTCCTTTAAGACAGAAGTTAAGATTGGAAGCACCAATGTTCCCTAAAATTTAAAAAGAGAAACAATTAGTTAACTGGAAACAGTTACAGGCAAGAATAATGGAAGCTTTAAAATGAAAGCGGTATTATAAGGCCTGGAAGGAATGCAGACTGTAGTTTAGGATATGACATTTTTTAGTTAGCAGCAGAAATAGGTTACCATAAAGTCCATTTGTGGGCACTACAGGAAAAATAACAAAGAAAAATTCTCATCTCAACTTACCAACCAGCCTGCAACCAACCAAATTATCCTGTGTAATAGTTCACGTTAAGGGGTTTAGTTTGCACACATTTGCAAATACATGCATAAGTTGCAGAACCTCTTCCAGGCACCCCAGTATTCTGCAGTTCCTAACTTTATAGATTTTGAGAGCCTCCATAGTAGAAGCACATGTATAATAATGGATAGATTGAGTTCAGTAAGCCTGGAGGAAACCTACCCCTCCTTAAAGTAATTGGGGTGCACTGGACAGCTGGAAATTGTTTTTTCTTTGTTGTTACATGACATGTGTCACTTTTCCATGTGCTTCTTGCTGCAAAGGCCAGTTATAGGTTAGAACAGTTGCTGTTTGTTTGTACTGTTGATATATTAGTGAGGGGGCACACTAGACACCTTTGCTGCCATTGTATTATGTGCTGGGGGGTGGGCTCCTTCCAGGCTTACTTGATAGGACAGACCAAACAGGGACAGGGTCTTTTGGAGGGAACTGCAGGCCTCTTGCCTGTTTGACCATGGCCCTGGCATCTGGGGGGGCTGTAGTCTTTTGTTGATGCCTGGGGGACCTTTAGAGTAGCTTACTTTGGATCAAGTCCATGTCCCCCAAAACAAACAGATCTTGAGAACTGGAGGACCAGGATGCAGTTTTGGGGTCCTCTGTGCCCAAACCAGCATTGCTTCAAACCCCTGCCCCCCCCCTAGACTCAGAGACTCTGTGAAGATGTTGATATAAGCAGCTCAAAAGAACCTCATGCTTTGGACTCTTGCTCTAATCTGTTTATTAAGATATGTGTTTCCTATCTGCTTCCATTGTGTGCCTCCTAGGTGTGCATTCCCATTGTTAATTGAGCCACCTACTGTTTGTCTGTTGGCTAGTCCTCCTGGAGGTTCTGTTGGCTAATCCTCCTGGTAGGATTAGACTGATGTCAGCTTCACCTTGTTATCTAATCAATGTGTGATGTTTTTCTTAATGTATAATATTTGTGTTTATTGTTCCTGTGGGCACTGCCCCTATTTCTGAAGTGTATAAAAAACCTGTTTTTCTGTTCAATAAAGTAGTTCCAGTTTGACATCTAAGCTTGTCTTTGTCTTGGGTGCAATGCCTGGCTATAATATATTGATCCTGTGTCCCAGTGGTGAGGAAGCGGTTCTCTGACAGAATCACCCAATCAGGGTGAGAGGAGTTCTGTCACACCTGACCTCAATCTATCATTATTATGTGTTTCTACTTGGTTGCTCTCAAAATGTATAGAGTTAGGAAATGCAGAATGCTGGGGGTGCGGTGAAGAGGCTCTGCAGCTTACGCATGTATTTGCAAATGTGTGCAAATTAATCCCCTGTTTTTAATGTGATCTGTTAGACAAGATAATTCGGTTGGTTGTGTTGGTTATGTGTTATAGAAGACACTGGTAGTGATAGCAGAATTCAGGCTTTACTTGTGTGGCTTAAGTTACAAACATACAGAGCACATTGCAGCAGACTGTATAACAGACTCATTAGTTCCTGAAGAGATGATAGAGAGGAGGAAAGTATCAGCAAGTTTTACACATACACAACTAGTAACCTTTAGTGTACAGTGCCATCTACTGGTCAAGTGATATTAACACAGAAATACTATATATAGTACATTATAGTACATGCTGTTGCATTCCCAACAGGTTGCAGGCTGGTTGGTAAGTTGAGCTGGGAATTTTTATTTGTTGTTGTTTGCCACCCATCACTCTTCCTTTTTGCTCCTTGCTGCAAAGGCCTGTTATAGGTTGGGACAGTTACCATTTGTTTGCACTACAGGAAAAGGGTTAAATGCTCATTTAGTCTAGGGCAGACATCACCAAATGGCGGACTGCGGTCCAGATCTGGACAGGGTTACTGTCCCATTCGGACCGGCAGCAGTCCCACCATTTAAGAGCTGGCTCTTCAGCTCAGCTGCTGTCACTTCTGTCATCCTCATCCAGCTGACATTGGAGGCAGGACAGCTCTGGATTTACGCAGGAGGCACATCAGTATACAGTATGTATAATTTGCAAAGCTGCACAGATCTTTTTATTACCTAATGGGGCCCCTTGACTGTATAGCCTATTTTCTGAAAAGGGTGAATTTAACCTTTAACCTACTAAATGTTCTGTATTTTCAGGTGCTGCTGTGAGATACACTTCTTGTTTGTCCCATTTAGGTCTTGGTCCCATGGTAGGTCTAAGATGATCCGACTTTTAAAATTGATCTAAAGCCAAAACCTTTTTTTGTGTAAGGGATGGTTAAAACTACTGATAAATGTTTTTTTTTGTCTGATGATATCACGATTAGGCTCCCACCAACGGGTTTCCTTGCAAGTAATGTTCAGGGGACATTTACCTGTATTTATATATTCAACACTGATGCACTTTATTTGTGATTTAGGGATATTAAATAATATTTATGTATTTGGTTTAATACATTTTTGTTTGCATTGCAGTATGAGCACTTAAAAAGGACAGCTCACCTTATTTTGCAGTTAATTTTAAGGGCATCTACTGCGCATCTACTACCAGACTTAAGGCCTGTACACACGATAAGAAAAAATCATACCAAAATCTTCGTACAAGGACCAATCGTCTAATAATCTGATTGTTAGTACACAGCTTTCGAGAGCCGATCATGACAATTCATGTGACAATATCCGAAGGGACAAGCACAAAAAAGTTATCTCGTATGATACCAGACCATACGATTTTCCTTTAATCAGTACAATAGTAGTCCAAAAAATACAGTGCAAATACAATACAATACAATACAATATAAGACATCACTTTTGAAATTCTTTTTTTTTGTACGAGAATTTTCATAAGTTTAGTACGCTCTTCATTTTCAATATGGAGACTAGCATGCTAAAAAAAAACATATGAGCATTCAGACAATATTCTTATTGTGAATACGGGGCTTAAGGCCTGATCAGGGGGGACTGACAACTCATAGGGCCCCCGGGCAATAGGGGATCATGGGGCCCCTGTGTCCTTGCCCAAACTCAAAAAAGCCTATGAAAAAGGTACCAAGGGCATCTCATGGGGCCCCCTACTGACCCTGGGCCCTCGGGCAGTGCTCGAGTTTCCAAATGGTCAGTCCGCCCCTGAGCCTGATTAAATCACATACTAGATAAACAAAACCAAGAGACTTCTCAGATTATCTTGGAACTCTGAGAAGGGTACCTTTGGAATTTGATATCCTCTAAATGTGGTGTCCTTGTTGGTTGCATGAAGTAGTCCTGCTGGTATAATATCAGCAAATCTCTGGATCTCATGAATGACGGCATCTGTATATGGCATCTTATTTCTGTCCTCCATTGATGGACAGCGATGTCTGCCTATTATATTATCGATCTCTTTATGGATCCTCTCTGCAACACACAGAAGGTGAAGAGCATAACAAATTTAGGGTGTTATTGCATCTGTGTTCATTAATTTATGTGAGCTCAGTTATATGTATGCTTTGGAAATAACTAGTGTATTTTGCAACACCCAGCAAAGCCTAATAACAATTATGAGCCCCCAAAGGAGATGTCACACAGTAGATATTCATACTTCTATCTGCCGTAGGTTTTTCCCATGGGACCCCCCAGTGACCTCTCTTTGTGACATCTAGCTTTGTCAATCAGGACAATAGTGTAATTGGTCCATAAGTTAGGTCTAAATCAAGGACAGGTATTAGGGAAGCTGTTACCATATTCTATACACTTCCAGGGACTAGTGCTGAGAACAGAAGATGCAAAAAAAAGAGTAGAATTGTAGGAAAGTCGCTTTTAACTTTAATTCCCCATCTAGCTATTCAGTAGTTCACTAGAGCATTTTTCAGCATCAATTGATCTTCATACAGTATAATATCTAATAATCTAAGGGCTTAAGTATAAAGTCTAAGCCCTTTCATCCCTTTTACCACCCCAGGCAGCAAACACTGACATTGTGGTTTAGAAGTCAATAAACAAAAAAAAAAAATGTTTTTTTTAAATTTTATATTATTACATAATTTTTAGGGCTCCTATGCTCAATTGCTCTATATACTTAATTAAAAAAAAAACTTATATAAACTGTGATATTTTTTGAAGAATTACAAACCTTAAAGGATAAGTACACCTTTGGAACATGTTTCATGTTCCACTCATTTTTAAGGAGAAACAAGTAACATTTTCCCATAACCGCAGCCACGTCAGCTTTTATTGAGGGAGTTTCATTTTTATTCCAAGGTAGCCTATTTCCTTTTTTATCCAGATAAATGGGAACTATTTTTGTAAACTCAGCTTCTCTGATATTAAGAAATTGATATTTAAAATTTCTGACTGCCGGATTTATTTCAGGATTTGATAAATCACCATACAATACTCTCATTAGGTTAGGCAATGTTATTCTAGGGTTAACAATATAGAACAACATATCATCTGCATATGCTGCCACCTTATGTTCCACTTTCCCTATCTTTATTCCTGCTATATCTACACACTTCCTTACCCTCGCCAGGATGGGTTCCAAGGACAGTACAAATAACAAAGAGAGAGGGGGCATCCTTGTCTAGTACTGTTGTGCATTCTAAAAAACTGGTAGAGGGATCCATTGACCTTAACCGCCGCTGATGGGCCATTGTACAACCTTTTTATCCATTTTAGCAATTTAGGCCCTATTCCTAGTGCCTCTAGCATGTCAAACATAAATCCCCAATTAACCCTATCAAAGGCCTTTTCGGCATCAATCAATAGGAGTATAGCTCACATTCTCTCTTAACTCTTTGTAAGAGGATCAAAAACCTCAAACCATTGTCCCTTTCTTCTTCTTCCAGGAATGAAGCCCACCTGATCCAGATGTACCCGCTCCGGCATCAGCTCCTTCAGTCTCGTTGCCAGCTTAGCTTAGCTGGCAACGAGACTGCCACAGTGTGAACTGTCCTTCCCTTCTTTAAGAATGATCGCTATATAAGCTTACAATGACTCCCTCATTTCCAACCCCTCCCCTAGTGCATTTACATAGCTTACACATTTTAAGGAAAGGAGATCTCTAAATTTTTTAAAATATCCCACAGTATATCCATCCGGACCCGGGCTTTTTCCCTCCGGCCGTGTTCTTTAAAGCTAAATTAATTTCCTCTGGGATAATAGTTCTCTTAGGGGCCTCTAATGTTTCTTCTGCTAATCTTGGCAGCTCCACCTCACTTAAATATTTCTGCCTAATTCTTTTCTTTTCCTCCTCAGTTTCCTTTTGATTTCTGAGGCTCACGTCATACAGTTCACTATAATATTTTTGGAACCTGTTAGCGATATCAGTAGTGGCATATACTATTTCTCCCTTCTCAACCTTTTCTGTAAAATTTTTGGATCTCTTTTTCTTTAATCTCCTCATTAAGTATTAATATATTCTATTCCCCCACTAGTATCTTCTTTTGAGACCCCATTAAGTATCCTCCTCGACTTTTGTTCCATGAGATCTTTTAACTCATCTCTCTTAAAAATGATCTTCTGATATACGTCTATTCCTATCTTCTTTTATGTAACTGTTCCAACTTATAAAGCTCTTCTGTCACCATCTTTATTTTTTTCCCTCGTTCTTAACCTTTTCTCTATTTCAGGGTCCTGTATAAGCATCTCATTAAGTCTCCACATAGTTATTTTATCCTGGTCTGTTCCTACTCATAGTCTCATCGTGACAGGAGAGTGATCAGAAAAGGGCATGATCTCTACGTTGGAATTGCCCAACGACTCCAACTGTCTATGTTTGATCATTATATAGTCCAATCTTGAATATGAACCATGCACATGAGAGAAGAAGGTATAATCTCTTTCTTTTGGATGTTTCACTCTCCAAGCATCTGTCAGTTGGTATTGATATAATAACCTCTTCAATGATTTCAATTTGCTACCCCCCTCTTTCTGTGTGCCTGATGACGTATCCAACTGCGGATCCAGACACATTGAAATCTCCAGCCATGACTAGACTTCCTTTCCTAATTCAGAGTTTCCTTAACACACCCTTTAAGAATGTCACTGGGTGTTTATTCAGGCAGTAGATATTAGATAATGTGTATTCCAGTCTTTGTAATTTTTCCCTCAGGAATAGAAAACGACCCTCAGGATCTTCCAATCTACCCTCCAGGGAAAAGCTAATATTTTTTAATGCCCAATTGATACTCCTTTGGCCCCTTTAATTGGTGAGTCAGCATAGCACCACACAGGATAATACTTCGAATATAATTTGACATTTGTATCATGGGTTATATGTGTCTCTTGAAGAAACACTACTTCTATGGAATTATTATTTCCCTGGGAGTAGGGGGGAGACTTGCCTCCTGTTCTTGAACCCCTCCTTGTCCGCTGGGTCCCGCTCTTCAGACTCACCCAGGCATATGTGCACAGTCTCCCAGGCCATCTCCACCTAGAGCACTCTCCTGCTTACCAGTCCCAGTGTCTTAAGGATAGAGAGTCCCCTCCTGCCGATGCTGCAGCCACCTTCCCGCGGTCCATTACACAACCAACTCTGGCTCCATCTGGCCTCCAGGCCGGTGCCTTCCTCAGTCCTGGCTCTACAGCTGTCACCTCTGTGTCCCAAGCACACGTCCTGGTACCACGCAGAGATCCAGGGCGGGCTTCACGGGGCAGGAACTATCAGCTGCATGCAGGCTAGGATCTGGGCAGTGGTCCGCTCCTCTCATGGTAGGTGTTATGATCCGCCAGGTGGTGCTGCTGGCTGTCCACTTGACAGACCTACCCAAAGCGTGGAGTCTAAGTCCCGGTCTGTGCTTTCACCAGGGCCCCTGATGGTGGGGATGGACTTGAATCAGACCAGGACCAGGTCACGACCTCTGAGCAGGCCTGCCAGCGGCAGGGGGAACCACTGGGGATGTATGGTACCGGAAGAGCCAGATGTGAGGAGGACGGCAGGGCCCAGCAGGATAGATTGCGAGCAGGGGACCCGTGGAGGAGGCGTGGTACAGAATCGGCAGGCGGAGAATCGTCAGGTCACTCGCAGGGTCAGCAGGAGAAGTCAGTCCGTAGATAGGTTTTAACAAGCCGGGGGTCAGGATGGGAGAGAGTAGAGTAGTCAGGACAATCCGGGTCAAAATGCAGGAGAGAGTAGAGTAGTAAGGACAATCCGGGTCAAAATGCAGGAGAGAGTAGAGTAGTCAGGGTCAATCAGGATCAAAAACTCAGGTACAGGATACAGGAACTCAGAAGACCTTGCGGCAATCAGTGACAGTGCAGGGCATCTTTAAATAGTGCGCCCTGCACTGTCATTGGCCGGCTAGGATGCGCCCCCGGCTGTCATTGGACGCCTGAGGCGCCCGCGGCTCTCTATCCGCCGCCAGTGCGCGTGCGCGGGGGAAGGTGCCGCGATCGGAGCCGCAATCCCTGACAGTAGGCACCCAGAGCTCCTCTCACACATGGCATCACAGTGCCATGTTCTGGCCCCTCCATCACCCAGTTCAAAAGGAGAACTTATCCTTTAAATGTCTTACTTCAAGACTATTGTGTTAAAGCAGAACTATAGGAAAAAAAAATTTTTATTTTGGGTATAGAAAAGGAGGGTTATAAGTCCTGTCAGATTTTTTTGCCATCTGTGTCTTATTGCAGAGATTTTCCTTCACTTCCTGTACCATAGCCAAATAGGAAATGAGAGGACATCCCTGCAAATAAGGGAAGCCATTATGGCCCCCAGGTTACCAGAACCAGTGTCTCCACTGGACGATTTCCCCTCTAATTTTCTGGGGACAACCCGAAATTTGGGATTTTCTTTTACTTTCACTTTTGATGATAATGATAAACAGGGCAAATAAAGAGGGTGAATCTCTCTAATGGGGCAGAGGTAGCAATAAAAACAGATATTCTAATCCATCTTTACTCTATCCAAAACTATAAAAAAAAAAACCTTTTGCTTTAGCTATATTTTAAGCATTCAGGATTAAAGATGTATTGCATTCACTGAGAAAAATAAAAAACATTCTGTGAATGGCCCCTGAGCAAGCCAAGCAAGCAACCACTTGTGTTCACTATGCAGCAGGACAGCATTTGGCACAGAACCGGATAAAAAATGGTTACCTATGTTTTAATGGAGACTATAGCAGTGGTTTTCAGCTTCCTCAGGGATCACACAGGTATGGCATATGCATACTTTATTAGGTCCTGGCTGGAACAATGTAACTATGCTATAAAATGAATACCTGGAATTGAACTTTAATATCAAAGTGCTGACCAGGATGACCCGACTCTATGTCAATAAATCTAAACACAGATGAAGGATGCAAAGAAGATATATGACTAGCAACTGCACAAGCCTGTGGATCTGAAATAATTTCATCTGGAATGGAGACATCAGGCAACCTCCTTAGTAGAACCCCCTTATCACCCTCCAGCCTCAAAGCAGCCACTTGCTGCAATGGATATCATTTTTTCACTGGCAAACTATCACGTACCTGGTGTTGGAGGCCAATGGTAAGTGGGCTTTCCTTGCGGCTAAGCTCCAGACTCCCCTGTAAGTGGAACAGGAGGAGTCAGGCTCAAAGAAGCATGGACTGCCTGCAGAGATGTCCTGACTGCAGTTTTGTCAGATGAGATGTCCATATATACGTGGGGTGCTCAAGTCAAACCAGGACTTTTCATTTTACAGGAATAAAAAGGGATGCTAGCATGGCGGAACTACATGCAGTAGTAAGTGGCAAGCAGTGGTGTATGTATTTCATGTGCTGCTCAAGGCAACACTAAAAATGGGTGGTGAATACGCCACTGGTGACAAGCATGTCTTATTACTGATCACATGTCATGAGCCAGTCCAGAGACTGTTAATCAAGATGGCAGACAACAGTGTTAATAAGTGAATGGAACAGCACGTGGTGATGAAGCTCCTTGTGAATGAAGGCGTAAAACCCGTGGATAACTACAGAAGTCTTCAAGCTTAGTACGGTGATGAGACGCTCAGCTGCAGTAAGACATTTGAATGGTGTAAACATTTCAAAGATGGCCGTGCATCCGTTAGTAATGATCCTGGCCGTGGTGGTTCCTAGCCCACAGCAGTCATTGCTATGAACATTTAGTGAGTGGAAGCCTGATCCTGGATAAACACTGCATAACCTGTCATGAAATCGCACAAGGGAGCATTTAAGCACTGATGACGAAGTGAACCAAGCTGTCCTAAGATGGTTCAGGCGTACTGACAAATCTTTCTGTGCCAAAGTTTTCCAGTCATTAGTTAAATGCTGGGTAAGTGTATAAATGTAGCAGGGGAGTATGCCAAAATATAAATGGATTTTTAACTCCTTGAAATTTGTTCTTTTATTACATAAACTCAGAAGTCCCAGTTTGATTTGAATGCATCTCGTATTTAGCTGAGGCACTAAGGTAGTGACTGCAGATAGGTGATGTCCATGGTAAGTAGCAGGTCTCAGGCAGAGCAGAAGTCAGGAGAGGAGCCAGAGGAAAGTCGAGGTACTGGTGTAGACATGAGCAAGCATAGTCAGGAGGATGGCCAGGGCAATACACAGGAGAGCAGGATACGTTCACCTTTTGGACAAAAATGTTAAATGCACATTTTTTTGCAGGTAAAAAAAATGTGCATTTATTAATTTTGTCCAAAGGAGCCTGTAAAGTATTGCACAGCAGATCGCTGATGCCATGCAGGTTCCCTGCAGACCTCTCAGAATATCTGCTAGCCATACGGGATGTATAGTCAAGCAGATATTCTGACAGGAAGCTTCAATGAACTATGGGAGAAGCTATGGGAGCATGTTACATGTTCCACCCTAAAGACAGGTGGAACATGTGACATGTTCCAAAGGTTAGCTTATCCTTTAAAATAAGCCAAAGTCAGATCAAGAGGCAGGCAGAAGACAGGTCCAGGGGCAAGCCAAATAGGTAACAGATGCACTGGAGAGCCAAAGATCAATCAGAAATCACAGAGGGTGGCTAGCTCCCATTTGGCGCCAATCTACGCTGGGAGTGTGTGGGTCCTCCATTTATGCACCAGCGCGCATTCCTGCAGTCATGTAAAGAACTGGTAGGAATTCCAGGTCTTTGTGAGCCTCCGCTCCAAAAGAAGTTGTAATTTTATTGTTGGCTGTGAAAAACTTCCTACTACTGGGAATTTTTGCACATCAGATTGTTTGTGTGTGAGTTGCAGCAGGCAGTGTGTTTCGACAACACCAAAAGGTGTGTTCCAAGATCACCAGTTTGCAGAGAGTGGTTTGGACTGTTGCAGTACAGCAATGTCTGGATGATAACGGTCTTTGTCAACAGGCTTGGGCTTGGGTCAATGGCATCAGTTTGACATTAGAATTCATTGGTAGATGCCTTTGACCTGCTTCTAGTGTGTTTGGCACTCCCATAGACTGGTATAGGAATGCAACACCCATTTGAAATTACCAAAAGCCCATTGACACGGGCCCTTACTATAGAAAGAGATTACCTTGTACTTCAGGGTATTTGAGTAGTATCAGGAAGCCATATCTCAGGGTCATACTTGTTGTCTCAGTCCCAGCAAAAAACAGATCATTTACTGTTCCTAGTAAGTTATCTCTCTTAAATTCTGTTTTGGGTTTGTTCTTTTCCTGAAAAATATTTTTCATAAGAATGTTAGCAGCCAAATAGGATATACAGCTACCACAATCTACATAATTTCAACAAATACCTTTTTTTCCTATCCGGTCCCCACCAATAATAAATGAGTTTCCTACTCTGGCTCATACTATTTTTTCATTTTCTTCTGGGTATTGGTGGAGTATCAGAGTTAAAAAAAACTCTTAATCCTCCTTCCCCATTCACTGTTTCCCAGGAGTTTGGACAGCTAACATTTGGCAGAGGCACTGGAATCATCATGCACCTTTTTACTAGAATGCCCACATACTATTAATCAATCAATATGTTGCCAAGAATATCTTTTACAGTTTCAAAGTTCTTTAAAATGTGCAACTGCGCCACTTTATGTATATGTAACGCTAGCCATGAAGGAACCACTTTTATGTTTTCCATGGTCTTCCCTTGCTTCGCCCCACAGCCAGACACAGTGTATTCCTTCAGCCAAATACACACATTTCTTCTCGCTCTCTTCAATGACCAGTCTAGGGGATGTTTGTTTTTGGAGTTTTATTGTAGAACTGGGTATAGGGATGGGGAATTATAGTAGGATACTCCAAAATTCGAACTTATCAGACTGAGGATATCTAGTTGATCTCTTAGTTGAGCAATTTTGAAGTCTTCGCTGAAGCAGTTAGCAGACTTCCCTTTATTTTGTAGCAACAAGTAGTTCAGGAGGAAGGAAAGTCCTTTTTTGTAGTAGTAGTAGTTACAGGGCAAAGCTCCTCAGGTATAAGCCAGTACGACAGACTGAGACAGCCCAAAGGTAAATTAGCTGAGCAAAGTCCTTTGCAGTAGCAACACATGGACAAGCTCTTCAGAACATTAGACAGTGTTCCTTTGTTCCAGACCCACGCTGACTATCGAACACCAGGGGAGGTAGCAAGCACACAGTGTCCCCAAATTCCTCAATGTCAGTAGTCACAAGGCCCAAGGATAGAATGGTTGCCTCCTTCCAATCATCCAAGCGAAACCCTCCAGTGATAGCAGACAGGGTTTTGGCAGATAACTCCCCTCAGTCAGCTTACTGAAGAACCAGGGTCACTCTCTCTAACTTCAGGCCCTCAGGTAGACCCAAACATGCATAAAAGTGGCCACCCGCCCAAGTCTATAACTGGCTTATGAAGCAAGGACACATAAACAGGCATCACATAGTGAAAAAAAGGGGGAGAGAACAATGTTCTTGGACAACTTGCCAGCCAGCTTGCTAACAACCGAATTAACCTGTCTAACAGTATGCGTTTATAACAGGGGTTTAGTTAGCACACATTTGCAAATACATACGTAAGCCACAGAGCCACGACACGGCACCCTGATCATCTGTGGTCCTAACTCTAAAAATTGTGAGTCCCCATAGTAGAGGCACATGCATTTAATGGATAGATCAAGGGCAGGTGGACCTGAGGGAGCCACCCCTCTTAAAGGCAAAGGAGTGCACTGGACCCCAGCATGTAGCACAATGGCAACCAGGGCCCTAGTGCACCCACGTACCAAAAAACCCAAACATGCATAAAAGTGGCCACCCGCCCAAGTCTATAACTGGCTTATGAAGCAAGGACACATAAACAGGCATCACATAGTGAAAAAAAGGGGGAGAGAACAATGTTCTTGGACAACTTGCCAGCCAGCTTGCTAACAACCGAATTAACCTGTCTAACAGTATGCGTTTATAACAGGGGTTTAGTTAGCACACATTTGCAAATACATACGTAAGCCACAGAGCCACGACACGGCACCCTGATCATCTGTGGTCCTAACTCTAAAAATTGTGAGTCCCCATAGTAGAGGCACATGCATTTAATGGATAGATCAAGGGCAGGTGGACCTGAGGGAGCCACCCCTCTTAAAGGCAAAGGAGTGCACTGGACCCCAGCATGTAGCACAATGGCAACCAGGGCCCTAGTGCACCCACGTACCAAAAAACCAAACATGCATAAAAGTGGCCACCCGCCCAAGTCTATAACTGGCTTATGAAGCAAGGACACATAAACAGGCATCACATAGTGAAAAAAAGGGGGAGAGAACAATGTTCTTGGACAACTTGCCAGCCAGCTTGCTAACAACCGAATTAACCTGTCTAACAGTATGCGTTTATAACAGGGGTTTAGTTAGCACACATTTGCAAATACATACGTAAGCCACAGAGCCACTCCTTTGCCTTTAAGAGGGGTGGCTCCCTCAGGTCCACCTGCCCTTGATCTATCCATTAAATGCATGTGCCTCTACTATGGGGACTCACAATTTTTAGAGTTAGGACCACAGATGATCAGGGTGCCGTGTCGTGGCTCTGTGGCTTACGTATGTATTTGCAAATGTGTGCTAACTAAACCCCTGTTATAAACGCATACTGTTAGACAGGTTAATTCGGTTGTTAGCAAGCTGGCTGGCAAGTTGTCCAAGAACATTGTTCTCTCCCCCTTTTTTTCACTATGTGATGCCTGTTTATGTGTCCTTGCTTCATAAGCCAGTTATAGACTTGGGCGGGTGGCCACTTTTATGCATGTTTGGTTTTTTGGTATGTGGGTGCACTAGGGCCTTGGTTGCCATTGTGCTACATGCTGGGGTCCAGTGCACTCCTTTGCCTTTAAGAGGGGTGGCTCCCTCAGGTCCACCTGCCCTTGATCTATCCATTAAATGCATGTGCCTCTACTATGGGGACTCACAATTTTTAGAGTTAGGACCACAGATGATCAGGGTGCCGTGTCGTGGCTCTGTGGCTTACGTATGTATTTGCAAATGTGTGCTAACTAAACCCCTGTTATAAACGCATACTGTTAGACAGGTTAATTCGGTTGTTAGCAAGCTGGCTGGCAAGTTGTCCAAGAACATTGTTCTCTCCCCCTTTTTTTCACCTCAGGTAGACCCACCTGAGGCCGTATGGCAGGAAGTGCCAGGCTAGGCAGCCCGCCTCCAGCCTGACTTGGTATAATCCACTCCTGGGAAAGACACTGAACCCATGTGATCTCAGAATATAGATACTACTTCCAGCATGCAATGGGACTGACTTCCCCTGCAATTGGCCAAGGCTGTGTTTATATTCATGCTGTTAATTTACCTACTTGGCAGAATATCACACTGATATTACCTGACTGCCTCTCTGGTAAGCAGAGAAACACAGCTATGCTTAACCTAACTATACACATCCTAGCACCTAACTAGGAGGGTGCTACTTATACGTTACAGTATGATATAATTTGGCAATTTTGTATTTCTTACAATCATTTGCAGTAAAACATTCTCGCAATCATTGCAGTAAAAGCTGAACTAACCCTTTAAAAATTAATTTCATTAGAAAAGAGATCAGATTCTAAACTAAGAATTTAAAAACAATCTCACCTCTTCCATTTTAATGAGGAAGCAATCTATAAAGTCACGAGGGCAGTTCTCATCCAATGTTTCCTTGTGAGCTTCCACCATATCCAGTAGAAACTGTTTAAGCTTTTCAAAATTTTGGAAAATTTTCTGGTGGGGGCCAGGGATATGTTTCATTAAGGTTGGGAACAGATTCAGAAACTGAAATAGATTTTTAATTCAGGCATTAAATAATGAACAATATATCTCCTTTACATTGCAAACATTTCATAACATAATACTGAACTTTATTGCGACAGATCTCTAGTACCCCAAGTTTCCATATCCTTTACTAAAACTGGCCGCAGATGGATCAAATCTTGGCTGGTTCATCAGGAACAAGCCAAGATTCGATCCATCTATGGGCAGGCTGGTTGTACCCAAGTCGATCCATTTTGAAACAACCAGCCTATCGGATTTTTTACATGCGACTACCGCCAGGAGGTAATTATTGTGTTCTGCTGGTCCGGAAGGCTCCCTGCTGGCAGAACACAATAGTGCTGCAGAAGGGATTCCCGCATCAACAGTGATGAAAGGAAAGAAAATCATATAACCTATGGACTGGTTAGCGACTTGAGCTGTGGAAGGTTTCACCCTCTTCATGTCTAGACCATTGTTTTCCAATTTAGTACTACGCTACTTTAAATGGTAACTATACAATGCTGTATCCAAACAAAATTTATATTATTTTTTTCACATAAACAGGGTTTTCTTTTGGTGGTATTTGATCACCATTAGGTTTTTTTTTTATAAATGAAGAAAAAAAGCGCCCAGATTTTTGAAAAAAAAAAAAACTATTTTTTTTTACTTTCAGCTATAAAACATATCCATTAAAAAATAAACTAAAATCTAATTTCTTTATAAATGTGGGTCAAAATGTATTCTGCTACACGTCTTTGTAAAAACAAAATCTCAATAAGTGTATATTGTGACATGGGGGATGATTAGCTCTAGTGGTAGATGCTTTCCAAGTGAGTCCACCCTAGTCAGAAACTTTCAGGGCTTGGTAGCCTACTTTTATTAAAAGGCAAGAAACAAAAAAACACAAAAAAAGTCCAAAATAAGATTTCCCACACAGGGGTTCTTCTCCAGTGGTAAATACAAATGAAAAATGCTAAGCCTCCTGGCTACTCCTTATTAGCACTGCTGGTCAGCAGTATCTCTGCTCGTATGGGTCTCCCAGACCACTGGCTATTCCTGGCACACTGCCTCGGACTTTTTTAGTGACACAGCCCTGAGCCCTTTTGATGCACACAGCATCCGTCTCACACAGAGACTCACAATGGCAGCCACTGCTCCAATTGCACTCCACTCCCCCCTGCAATTCTTAGCAAACCATCATTATAAGGACTGTGAGCACCTGGGCCCACACCCTACTGGTTGACTACAAAACCTGGACACCGCATTGGAGATTTATTCCCTCCCAAGGCACTGTGAAATCTCCAAACTATGGAGCCCCATCCAGAAATATCAAAATCTGGAGAAACCTGTAACGGCAGTTTTCTCCACTCGAAACCTGTGCTCTGCAGTTCTGCTCTCTGCACATGTGCAAACCCTGTGTCCGTTTCCTGATCATCTCTATCCATTTTGATTCTGTGACAGGACCCTGTACTGTTACAGTATTATTATTATTATTATTATTATTAAAGTTGTAGTGTCTACAAAGTATGGCATATACAGTATATTGGAATTTTTTGTAAAGTAATAAAGGCAGTGATCAGCAACTTATAATGGGATTGTGATAGTGCAGCGGGCAATCTGACACTAACTGATGCTGGGGGGAACTGCCTAACTGCCACTGACATCACCAGTGATAATATTACAGTGATCGGTGATAATTCTATACATTTTCGCTGTACTAATTACACTGGCTGGGAAGGGTTTAACATCTAGGGCAATCAAAGGTGTTATATGTGTGCCTAATGATATGTAATGTGTGTATTATGTGCTGCTTTTACTAAGACATCTCTTTGTTTATCATCCCTGCTCACAGTTTTTAGACTAAATGGGGCTGATGTACTAAAACTGGAGAGTGCAAAATCTGGTGCAAACTAATCAGCTTCCAGGTTTTTTTTTGTCAAAGCTTCATTGAACAAGCTGAAGTTATAAGCTGCTTGGCTGCCATGCACAGCTGCACCAGATTGTGCACGCGCCACTTTTAGTAAATAAAGCCCAATGGAGCTTTGATTGCTTCACAGTTCTGAAGCAGCCCTCTCTGTTGGTCATGGTGACCATTGCCTCCAGTACAGAAGGTGATGGCAAAGCCAAAATGACTTATCACAAAGACGAGATGAAATCTTTCAATTAAGAAATCAGTTCTGGTGACAAGAAGGAATATTCCCTCTCGTTGCAGAAAATTTCTGTCATATTTCTGAAACAGGAAGTGAATGGGAATCTCCCTAATGGCAAACAAAGAGCATAAGAAATACCATCAGGAATTTTAACTATTCCCTACTCTATCCAAAACTAAAATAGGTTTAGATTTATGCCGCACAATATTAGTATAGCAGTTTATCATCTATTTTCATAAAAAATAAATTCAAATTAATTTAGTGCACACAAGCACAATATAATGCCCAATTTTTGGTAAAATATAAAAGATGAGGTCACATTATGTAAATATATACCAAACATATCAAGCCTCAATAATAAGTTTGCCGGTGAAACAGCAAAAGCTACAGTACCCAAAATTGCCCACATTAAAAGCCTTTACAGCTCATCAGTTTAGAGTTAACAGTAAATGTTGGAATATTGCTCCCACGTCGGCATGCATAGTGATACCTAATATGTGTGGCGCTATTCTGGTTTTCATATGCTAATGTGCATTTGCATACATATGGCCTTGTATGTGGGGCAGGAGGCTTTATCGGCTTCCCGTCCGCTCTATAGCAGAAGTACTGCTACAGGGCGGCACAGCTGCATAAAATCATGTATTTATACATGATTTCGCATTTCCGGGTAGGGGGGCACACACGAGCCCTACCCGTGCCACCATTCGTGGCCACGGCTGTCAGTTACCAGGTTACAGTGAAGCCCAAACACAGCCACACAGTGTAAAACAGCACACAGTTAACCCTTTGATCACCCCACATGTTAACCCCTTCCTGCCCAGTGCCATTAGTACAGTGTCAGTGCTTTTTATTAGCACTGATCACTGTATTGTTGTCACTGGGGATGTCAATGACACCAACTCAGTTCCCCCCAGTGTCATAATACCTGCCACAGTCCCGCTATAAGTCGCTGATCGCTGCCATTACTAGTAAAAATTTAAAAAAAAAATTAAAAATCCCAGTATATATACCTCCATTTGTAAATGCTATAAAATTCACGTACACCAATTAATTTACAGGCATTGGGATTTTTTGTAGCAAAGATATGTGTAGCAGAATAAAAATTTTGGCCTAAATGTATGCCAAAATTTGATTTTTAATTTTTTTTTTATTTGGACATGTTTAATAGCAAAAAGTAAAAAGTTATTTGTGGGTTTTTTTTTGCATTTTACTTTACTAAACTTTAAATGTGGGGTAAAACAAGTTTTTCATCCTAACTTTTTTTGCTATCACAAGAGGGCTGAAAAGCCCCTTATGTTATACAGTAGAATGGTAGATGACAGGTTCTCTTTAAGGGGGCATCGGGGGTATTTTAGATCCCTAATGCCACTTATGCACTCCTTTGAACCTAAGACAGCACATACATCACAGCTCTAAAACCGTAAGTGATCAAAGCTCATTGCTCTCAAGTTCGTTCTAGCTAGGGGAGATCAGCAAACAGATTTTTACTGGGCTCCCTCTGCTCTCTGCTCTCACAGCTGACCCCCGCCATGGATGTCCCAGGCTACTTGTTGGGAATTGGGGGGGGGGGGTCAGCCGGAGGGTGCCACTTTACTGCCCACAGCAACCAATGCCCCAAGTCACCAATATCACTTCCAAACGTACGGTGAAAGTAAGCGGAAAGAAAATGAAGCTGAGATTCCTGCTGTTATAGCAGTGTATATGCCAGCACTACTGTGAGAGAGCGTATTTTGACCAAAAGAAAACAAGCATGCACCCACTATTAATTTCCCTTTTGTTTATTTCCTTTGAAGCTCTAGCAACAAGGATTCCTCCCCCACCATTGCCCCATTAATAATGTCATCCCTAGAATTTAGTGGAAAATCACTCTTGACATACATGCACCTTCCCACCTTCTAACTACCCTATCTTCAATACAGGGCATACTCCTATACAGTCACAAGCCAGTCATGTGTGCTGTCAAACCAGCTCTCTGGTACTCCCACAAAGTCAAAATCACCCTCATGCATCAGTAGTTCCATTTCCGTTATTTTGTTCAAACTTCTAGCAATTAGTGTACAAGCCTTTTTGTTTTGTATGACCACATGTTATTTTATCCCTGCTTGTTCTGAGGCTGCAGTAGGATTCTGCCATCCCACATGTGTTGGTCTTAGGCATTCCAGTTAAATTGACCACAGTAGCAATTTCTGCCTTCGTTCACTAGCTGGAAAAGCTTCCTCTGATCTCTCCCCATGACTCCTAGTTTAAAAGTTCCTCTAACTTTATGGCCATCCTCAGGGGCGGACTGACAACTCATGGGGCCCCAGGCAATAGGGGATCATGGGGCCCCTGTGTCCTTGCCCAAACTCAAAAAAGCCTATGAAAAGGTACCAGAGGCATCTCATGGGGCCCCCTACTGACCCTGGGCCCAGAGCTGTACCCTCTCCATTTAGGTGCAGTCAGTCCCTGTTAGAGAGCTGGTAATCGACTAAAAAGTCACCTCACTTCTCCAGGAACCCCAAACCCTCCTTCCTGCGCCAGATCCTCAGTTTCTTGTTAAGTTCCCTATGCTTCTGTTACCTCTTTGGTGTGGCTCAAGGTACAGGCAGTATTTCTGAGAATACCACCCTTAAGGTCATTTTCTTCAATATAGCTCTCAAGTCCCTGTAATACCATGACAGCTAAGTCCTCCCCAGTCCCACCCAACAATCTGTCGATCCAATCCACAATGTGCCAAGTCTCAGTGCCTGGGTAAACAACATAGCATTCTGTGATCACGGTCTTTGGAACAGTTGACCTATCTGTCCTTCTAATAACTGAGTTCCCTACCACCAGTATCTGTCTAACCTTGCCTGTATTCATGCTCCCATCCTCACCATAGAAGTCATTCCCCTAGCAGCTAGGGGAGGATGTCTGCTCCAGCAATGCCACCCTTGAGCTGATATCCCCAACGTTATGCAACCTGGCATGTTTTTATTGGGAAGTGCCAACCCAGGACCTGCCTTCCTAAGGCTCTTCCCCTCCTTCTAAATGTAACCCAGCTGCTTTCCTTTGGCTCCTGCACCTCCATAACTCTACCCCCCTCTATACTGGCCCCAGGCAGCACCTGATGTGTAAGGTCCAAACTCCTTTACAGGTTGTTGATGCTTTGCTTTGCAATGTTGCCAGCTGATTCTTTAGATCCAGGATCTGGGTTTCCAAAGAAATAACTAGCTCACATCTCGCATAGCAGTATTCACCCTCGAGCGGTTCTTCAAGGAACGTGTACATGGAGCAAGATATGCACTGGTCGCATCACCACTTCTGTTGGACATTTCACCAGCTACCCTAATGGGGATAATCCAGGAAAAATTAGGAATTAATTTATATAATTTGTTGTTAAACGTACTTATTACCTTATCCTAATCTGAGCACTATCTGTTTTCTTACTTGTTTGGGATCTCTTGCTCCCTGATAACAGTGCCCCTGGTGTCCTTTTTTCCTGTTCCTCCCTTACTGATCACTAGGCCCCCCATTGTCTTCTCCTCCTGATCCTACACACTGATTGCAAGTCCCCTGGTGTCTTCCCCATCCACTGATCACCCAGCCCATGCCGTCCTCTCCTCCTTTTCCTGCTCACTGATCACACCACCCTTATCATCTTTTCCTCCTGCTTCTGCTCACTGATCACACAGCCCCGGTGACCTCTCTTCCTGTTCTTTCTCACTGGTCTCATGGCGTTCTCTCCTCCTGCTCAGTATCACATAACCCCTGTTGTCTCCTCCTGCTCTCACTCGCAGTGCCTCTGTACAACCTATGCCTCAGTACCAACAGTGCTCCATTACTCAATGTCTCATCTCCATTACATGGAGGATTGATGGGATTAGTATTATTATTACACAGGATTTATATAGCGCCAACAGTTTGCTCAGCGCTTTACAATATAATGGGAGACAATACAGCAACAATACAGTTCAATACAAGAGGGATTTGAGGGCCCTGCTCCTTGGAGCTTACAATCTAGGAAGGAGGGGGCTAGTGGTACAAAAGGTAGTAACTGTGGGGGATGGACTGGTTGGAAGAGTAGAAGATTCCAGTATTAGCTGAGGGCAGGATAGGCTTCCCTGAAGAGATAGGTTTTCAGAGATCGCCTAAAAGTGAGCAGAGTAGGTGATAGTCTGATAAATAGGGGTAGAGAGTTCCAGAGGATGGGGGAAGCTCTGGAGAAGTCCTGGAGACGAGCATGGGAGGAGAATACAAGGAGCTAGAGAGTAGGAGGTCTTGCGAGGAGTGGAGAGTACGGTTTGGGTGATATTTAGAGACAAGATCGGTGATGTAATTTGGGGCAGAGTTATAAATGGGCTTTATACGTTATTGTTAATGTTTTGAATTTTATCCGTTGGGCACCAGGAAGCCAGTGGAGGGATTGGCAGAGAGGGGTGGCAGATACAGACCGGTTAGTAAGGTGGATGATTCTGGCAGCAGCATTCATGATAGACTGAAGAGGGGATAGCCTGCGATGAGTTAGGCCAATGAGGAGGGAGTTACAATAGTCAAGGCAAGAGATAAGTGGATAAGTTGCTTAGTGGTTTCCGAGGTTAGGAACTGGCGTATCTTGGAGATGTTGCGGAGGTGAAGTCTACAAGATTTGGACAGTGATTGGATTTGGGGCTGAAAGGACAGATGGGAGTCTAGGATTACACCTAGTACCCTGGCATGAGGGGAGGGAATGATGATTGTGTTATTGATCTAGTAGTTTTATTATAAATGATAAGGATTTTTGGCTTTCTTTCAGCTCACAGGAAGTCACAAGGATGTTGCATTTCTGTAAGATCAATAAGTATTTTCTCTGGATGCTGATAATTGTTCTACCTTTAGAAAAAGAAAAATTACTACAACCACCACCAGTGGTGTATGTAGGTTTCGTGCTGCCCTAGGCAACACGAAAAATTGGCTCCCCCCCACGGACATTTACCAACAACACCCCAGCCCCCCACTCCCACCCGAAAGAGCCTTCCACTACCACCGGGCAACCCCCCACCCACCCCTGCAAGAGATAAGATAATCACCTTCACAGCTCCGGACATCTCCAGGAACAAGAGTCAGGCTCTCCATACACCATCAAGCAGCCTGCAGCCTCTCTCAGATCCCACCCAGTCCCCATGCTGTGTGTGTTCCTTCTTCCATTCCTTCTTTCAGGGAACAGCGCTGCCCCCCTGAAAAATGCTGCTCCCCCCCTGAAAAATGCCACCCTAGGCAAATGCCTTGTTTGCCTTGTGGTAAATACACCCCGGACCACCACATCTAAGTCCTGGTAAGTGGTAATAGTTTTTTCAATTTTGGGTTTGGATATGCTTCATAGGGTAGAAAAGGATCTCACTGAAGCACTGAAACATACCACTGGAAACGTAGGTTTAATTTCCACACCATAGTAAACCATCTGTATATAGTTTGTATATTATCCCTGCATTTGTAGAATATGGTATATACCTGTGCTAATCGAGAGTTTATCAGGGTCACAATTTCTTGAATATTTGTCAGAAGGGTCAAGAACTTCTTGTCATCATAGTCGAATCTTTCACCGAATACAATGGAGCAGATGACATTAGAGACAGCCATTCTTAGCAGATGAATCGGGTTTATTGGCTTATCTGTTATTACACAAACAGGACCAATCAGCATTTTCAATCCAGACATCAGTATACAAAATTTTGCAAACCATATCAGATTCATTAGGACCTTGGGTAAATAATAAGTGGTAACACATTAGTTAGCATAAACAAGATGCGGTTGATTTACTAAAAGAATACAGTGGTAGCTATTTATTAAAACTGGAAAGTTCAAAATCTGGTGCAGTCCTTCATAGAAACCAATCAGCTTCCAGGTTTTTATTGCCAAAGTTTAATTGAAGAAGCTGAAGTTAGAAGATGACTGGCTACCATGCAGAGCTGCACCAAATTCTCAGTGCACCAGGTTTAGTAAATCTACTGCAGTATGTTCACATTGCAAAGTGCATTTTCATAGCTTAATCAATGAGGTGAAGTTAGATTAAAATTCAGTTTGCTAACTGAACAACTTTTACTGCTTTACTAAATTAACTTTATTATTTTTCTTTGTCATATTGTTTTTAAAATGCTGTAACCATTTAGCACTTATACTTCATCTCCTTGTGGGTACAATGCTCACTAGTTATCAAAGAACAGCAACAAGGCTGATCTGCAACTCTGTATAGTTCTATCATCATGAAATCTCTATCACCTTGGACTACAGCTTGCTATGATCCACAGAACTGTGAAGAAAAGAAGGAGCTATGGACAATAGGTGCATTTCCTATAGTCTCAAGCTGTGTTAGATCCTGTGTTCCTGCTCAGGCCATGGATCCTGCTGACATAAATCTGCTGAGTGTCTTGCAGACCCTACGGCAATGTATCAAACATCACAGACCCCCATCTGAATAAATGTATTTAGACACCTTAGGACCTGTTTTTTGGCATAATTTGCAGGGCAAATCTGCACCTCCATCTTTCCAGTAGCTCATGTGTTCTCATTTCTTTCATGCTTGAGCTCAAGGTGAATTTTCCAGACACTTTTCAGGTGACCAACAGACGTTTGCTAGTTTCAAATATTACTGCAAGCTTTTTTTGTCTTCCTTCAAATTCTTCATGCCCTGAAGAACTGCAAGTTGCAATTGGTCCTTGCTTCAAGGCAACTCTTAGGCCCCATGTACACGGGACACTTCTGAACGATGGAAACTGACTGCTGGAAAACGTTTAAAAAACATCTGTTTAGCCACGTTTGCATACCGTGTATATGTGCGTTTGCTTTTAGAAGCTTTTTTTAAAGATAAGAACAGGAGAACCTCCCAAATGCCCAGAATGCACTGAAAAGTGGTAAATTATTACATTATTAACTATTTCAGGCTGTTTCAGAGAGTAGAAGCAGAGACAGCAGTATGTGTTGAGATTAGCTTAGGTGTAAGTTGGTCATTAACATTTCTTTTGTTTCCAAGGGTGGGAAAGGTGTCTGGTGGAGTGAGTCATTAAGGGCACCTGGCAGGGGGTCTTCACGAGGAATTTGAGGTGTGAATGGTCATTAACATATCTTTTGTTTCCAGGGGTGGGAGAGGTCTGAGGTGTGAATTGGTCCTTACAATGTGTGACAAGCTTGGTAGGAACATCATCTGTGTTCAGTGTTTTGTCCATCTGAGTACCTTGAAATGCTTTGCATGCATTTTTCATGATGAAAAAAGGTTCTGGACAGCATCGGGAACTGGGAGAGTTAAAAAAAAATTTCAAATGCAAACACTTATAAACAGGATTTGCCTCGTTTACAAGCGTATTGCATTTGAAACGCTGATAAAATCGACTGCTGAACTCAAGTTTTCTGCGTTTCAAAAAAAGGATTGTAAACTCAAATGCCTGTAAACAACTGTAAACGAAGATGTGTACGTGGCTACACAGGAAAACATTAGGGAGAGTTCAGGGGCTGCTGAAAAAAAAACGCTGAACAGCTCCTAAACGTGAGTGTACATGAGCTCTTGAGCTTTAAGCAGGTGACTCAGCTCTCAGCACTGTAGAAGCTTTTTTACAAGCCCTTGGTCTTTTATTTTACTGTCCAAATCGGGCAGCATCTGCCATATCTGCTTTTCTTTCCCTGTAACAGGGACACAGAATTGCTAAGGAATACTGTTTTGATTTTCACCCATGCTCCGCTGACTTGCATTGGAATGATCCCTCTCCTTGGATTCCTCAAGACCTGTCTGAGGTAATTAAATATTCACTTGTAAACTATCCTCTGAAAACTGAAAACTTGGATGCCATCATGCAACTTGCATAGTGATAGGCCAAACACCCCCTTTGTTCGGTTCGCGGTCAAACATTCAAAATTAATAAAAGTTTGATCATGAACTTTTAACAGAGGGGACAATTCATTAATGATATCTTACCACATTTGAGTATACAGTAAGATACTGCATAGCTGCTAAAATACCACATGAGCAACTGTTTATTATGAAGTCACGCTGTATTTTAGTAGTGAAACACTCTTTTATGTTTCAGCTGTCAGTGGGGTTCCCCGCTTATAGCTGAATATAAAAAAAATTGCTGGCATGCCCCGGCAAATAAATAAAAAATTATAAAAAAGACGGCGTGGGGTCCACCCAATCCGTACAAAGCCCTTTAGTTCTGGTATGGATTTTGAGGGAAACCCTCAAGCGAAATTTTTTTTTAAAAAAATGGCATGCAGGTCCCCCCCAAAATTCATATCAGACCCTTATCCGAACATGCAACCCGGTAGGTCAGGAAAGGGGGGCGAGCGAGTGCACACCCCCACTCCTGAATTATAGCAAGTCACTTGCCCTCAACATGGGGTGGTGCTTTGGGGTAGGGGGCTCCCCCCCGAAGCATCTTGTCCACATATTGATGGGGACAAGGGCATCTTCACAACCACCATGGTCGGTCGTTGTTGGGGTCTGCGGGCTGGGGGCTTATAGGAATCTGGAAGCCCCCATTAACTACCCTCTCAATCATCCAAAACTCATTGTCTAGGGCATCAGAGTGAAGATTCCTTAGGATGACCACATTTCAAGCTCTTTAGGTTACATATATCAATCTGCTTTTCTTCCTTGGTCAGACCTTCTGTGCCAGACCTAAGTAGATTCTAGAGCCACTGCTAATTTTATCAATCAAAGCCTAGTCTTTAAACAATCAATGTACTATTGACCACCAAATTGAGAATGGGTTTCTTTAAAGGTGCCAGTTAAACTTCACTGGTACTTTTGAAGAAAACCATTCTCATTTTGGTAGTCAATAGTACATTGATTTTGGAGCTCATCTATTTCTTGACCAGGTTACACACCTTATGTGTTGTCATCCTCCATATTGAAACAATGACATTTTTATTGAAACTGTGAAGTCTGTTAATTAGCTTCTGTTTGGTATAACATGGCTCCACAAACATTCTCCATAATATTTTTCTTTGCTCCTTTGCTTTTTAGGGCTCACTCATCCTAACAGCAGATAGCAGAAAGGGTTCATTTTCCATTATTGCTGTGACACATCTAGGCTATCATTGACACTCTTGAAAGGTTTGTGTCTGTGTCCATCCACTGTCCTACATAATACCTGGCTGCCAGTACAGTTTGCATATGGCACAACATTGTCATCTTACCATCTGTCTTTTTTTTTTTAGATCTATGGTGAAATCCATGTCAGTTATCTAAAGGGATGTGGATGATAACCCTATATAACCCCTTACTATAGTTCAGAACTTTTATTTTCCTCTCCTGGAAGGCTATTATTATTATTATTATTGTTATTAAGTGCCATCAACTTGAGTTGGAGTCCTAGCGATTTGATGAATGAGAGCTCTGAAAAGAAGTTAGTTTTGTGCTAGTCTGGCAAGATCTTCCAGTGTCTTCCCCACAGCTGTAGTCAGTGTGTCCAAACATCTAGTAGCTGATCTCCCTCTTCATCTGTTTCCTTCGATATTCCCAAAAATTACTTCCTTTTCCAGTGAACTCTCTTCTGACCAGTGTGACCAAAATAGGACAGTCGCAGCTTCATCATTTGGGCTTCTAGTGTCATAGGTGGTTTGATTACTTCCAAAATCGATCTGTTACATAGTTAGTCTGGCTGAAAAAAGACAAAAGTCCATCCAGCTCAACCAAAAAAAAAAAAAGTTATAAGCCTATACCCACAATTTAACCTAAGGACGGTGAAAAAAACCCAGCAAAGCATAATGCAATTTGCTCCTGCAGGGGAAGAAATACCTTCCTGATCCCCGAGAGGCAATCAGATATTCTCTGCATCAACTTTACCTATAAATGTTAGTATCCAGTTATATTCTGTGTATCTAAGAAAGAATCCAGGCCTTTTTAAAAGTAATCCACTGAGCTGGCCAGAACCAACTCTTGAGGGAGTCTATTAGCTCTAATGGGCTGGCCATGGCACGCATAAAAATTATTATCCAGCAAAGCTATAGAGACTATTAATAAAGGTGCAAAATGGCTAGCTTGAGATTTTTACATTCAGTTTGTGATTTGTGATTTTCCATTTAGCACATCCATTTAAATTAAATGGTGTTTAATCCTCTTATATTTTGCATTCCCTATTTCCTCCCTCCTCTCTTCATCAACATGCTAAAAACATTTTGATATAAAACCTTTTTGCTTTCATAACATACCTTATTTTAAACCTAATGGCATCATAATTTGGTCTATGTGCTGTTCTATGTAGTGTAAAGATCATGGTTGGTGGGAAGGGCTATACATAGCTTCCTGAAAACATCACTGCCTCACTACTCTTTTCAAAAACATTTACACCAGATTCAAGCAATGGGCTAGGTCTTCGGCCTTGATGGGTGAATATCAGTTTGGAGAAGAAGCCATTTCTAGGCAGGCTGAATACATTTGATTGAAGTCTGTTGTGGGTAAAGCCACCTTGTATGAAAGAACTGAAAATCAATATATAATAGAGGCAGGCCATGAACTGTAAGGCTGGGAGGGAACAAACTAGATGATCCCTGATGCCCTCAAGCCAGTAAACGAGATGGATTCTATCTGAATTACTGCTGCTTCTAACACACACTGTGAGAAGCTCACAGTGTGCAGGGGATCATAGTAAGCCATTTCAATACAGGAGTGGAGCCTATA